TGAAATGAATCAAGTGAAATTAAGTAGAGTAGTCATGTAGTGAAAAGTTATAGGGTTTGTCTCTTTCAGTTTCAGTTTTTGCGAAAATGTAATGTGGATCGAAGCAATATCCCTTGAAATGTGACGGAAAACACTTACCCCACGTGGAATGCATTAGGGAAACATTTAATTTTTTTTTTTATTTTTTATTTTTTTGATCAAGTAGATGGTTAGGAAGTTAGTAAAATTAATTTGTTAGCAGCTATAATTTTTTTAGGAAAGTGAACGTTCCACCCCCTCATTTAAGACGCGCAACCATTAGGTCGCAAATTGGTGGAGTTCACGGCGATGGCAGAACTCGAAACCCTGACCTCCGCCTCATCCAAATCCTAAAACTTGGGGACCAACCAATTGAGCCATAGGCCGGTTGGCAGGGAAACATTTAATTAATCGAAGGACAACGATAACAAAAAATATTAAATGAAACAACATGAAAGTATTAATTATGGGACTTTAATTAAATTGAAATTAAATCTGGGGTAATCTTCTATTCTCGAATCTCGATTTCTCGAATGCTTCTTTGCTTCTTCCAAGAAGAAAAAAAAAATATTGATTTTGTCAGCTTCTTTAGTCCTCCGACCTGGAACTCCGCAATTGACTGGAATTTTTTAAATTTATTCTTAAATGGCATGAATATCCCTATCTTTTGTTCCAGTTAAAATGAAGGCTTCTTGTGGATCACATTCTTCACTCCATTAACTCGTTTGTTTTTTTCAAATATTGATTCGGCTGAAATCTACTCCAATGTGTTTCCAAGCAAAAATTGAGGAGAGACGGTTATTTATTAATCTCAAGTTTTATAATTTAGGATTATATTATAATATAAAATAAAAATTATTAAATAATATATAATTCTTAATATAGAGAGAGATACATCTATTTAATAATTTAAATTAAATAATATAATTTTTTTTATAATATATATATTTTTTAATAAGATGATATAGTACTGCTTTTAATATCGGGGTACTGGGAATTAAAACTCATCTCTTAAATGGGATCATATATCTTGCTTCAGCTTAAAGTTTGCGCAAAAGATAAACTAACTATAATTACTTATTAAAAAATCTACTATTAGACTACATATAATTTGGAATTTTAGAAGTCTCCTAAAAGGGGGTTTTTTTTTTTTTAATATAACCAGAGTAAAGGTTGATTATTCGCACGAAAATAACCACTTTAGGTAAAAAAAATACTTGAATTGAGAATCAATCCACAGCTATGAAAAAAACTTGAGTTATATTTGATTGTGAAGTGTTATAATTGTGGTTTTTTAATATTTTATTATTAAATAATTATATTATTATTAAATAATTATTTAAAAAAAATTATATTAATAATCACTAAATTATATAAAATATTAATTAAATTTATTTATTCATAATAAATTAATATTTTTATGAGATATTATATAAAAAAACATTGTGAGAAAATAAATTTAAATGCAACATTGGTAGAGTCAGTTGTAATAGCCCAATCGGAAAGGAAATTTGTTTCCAACTTCGTTGCGAGGGTTCTAATAGGTCATAAGCTAATAATTCCTGATGGTAGGAGTAACTAAAAATTTCAATTTAACTATTTTTTTAGTGACAGCTAACTTTTTTTAAAAAAATTTCCATTTAACTATTTTTTTAATGACAGCTAACTTTTAGAAAAAAAAAAAAGGTTTGCACAATAGAAGTTAATTTTCTCCTATTTGATTATTCACCTCACTTATATACCTGCAATTTGAATATAAGTTCTCTTGCTCAAGCAAAAAGATATGGTGTAGTCAGTTTTTCTTTTCTTTTTTTTTTTTTTTTTTTTTTTTTTTTTGTATCATGTATTTTATAATATAGAAAAGTGAAATACAGTTTATTCTATATAAATGACATTTTATTCAACTATTAATGGAGTAGTGAGGGCACTCACTCCATTAGTGATTAAAAATAATGTAATCATGCAAGGCAAACTACGCTACTGCATTCTTTTTATAATATAATATAATATCTAAACCAAATTATATTTTATGTAAGTTTTGATTAACCAAAAATTTTCAGTTCCGTGAAACCCAGGATATATTAACCCAATTCAAATATTTAAAGTTATTTTTTCTTTGATTCATTGCTTTTTTGGTCCATATCAAGAACTAATTGAAAAGCCTTAAAACTTGATTATATTTCTTTCTTTTGACTATTTATTTTTGAGAAATAATTTTTGTATAACTTTTTTATTTTATTTTTTTATATAATCTGATATGTCATTAAAATAATTAATTCTTTTAATTTATGTGAGACTTGTAATATTAAATACATGTAGAAGTTTTATAAAAAGATATGACAAAAATGTTATTCCTATAGTACCCACCTTTTATTTTCTAAACCAAAATAATTCAGTAAAATTTTAGATTAATGCAAACTATTCAATTATCCTGATTTAATCAAACCAAACTAATTGAAAAAGCAGATAATTCAGGTTTACCCAAAATACATCAGCTTTACTTGACTTTAACTCGACTTTTACCAAATTGGAGAGGCGTAACCTGACTTCGACTTTTAACTGAATTGTAAAGGTGAAGTTGGCCGCGTTTGACAATTCTTCATTTTTCAAACACCTTATAGTATAAATACATAATTTGTAATTAATTTCAATTAATTTTTTATATAGACTTACTATTAATTAATAGCTTACATATATTTTAGGAATGTAACAAACGGAAAAAAAATACATCTACAGATCATAGTGCAACACAATACTAACGAATGATGCTTTAATTATATGCAACCACGTTATCCACTAACAAAAAAGGCACATGTCAACTCAGTAGTAACCTTACGACATACAAGTGTTATGTTGTATAGAATGACAAAGTTTTAATTCTTATTATATAATTTAAGATAAAAATTAAAAAAAAATTCCAAGTACGTACATATATGTTCAGGGATACAGCTAGTGAATTACCAATTTTTGCATAATAAAGAAATTTCAACACAACCTCAAATCCCCTCTAGGCCTCATTGTATCGTCCACGGCTATTCAGAAAATTGAGATACGACAATTTTCTCGACTATCTGACGCTGGATAAATGAGAGTCAACTCTTTTAGACCAAACTTTCATTCAATTTGAATTTCAAAATTTCGTACAAAATTTATGGCAGCTGAAAAGAGCCTAAGGTTTTCCATATTACACGCATCAGCAAATACGTATTACGACTGATATTATGAGGAGCTGTATGCAACAAATTTTGGTATTGGTCCTCTCTGTGCATCTGAACTTCCTCATGAACAAACATGGATGTCGCGGAAATTGGCTCGAGACTTCCTTGGTATCAATACTTTTTTAATACCATTCTTGAGGAAAAATAAAAAAAAATATTTATATATATGACAAGCAACAAAACTTTCAGCTGCTAGTAGAGTCATCTTCACTGTCTTCACTGTCATCACTGCATTTCCATACCAAGAGATAAGATAATACCCAGCAAATTCACAGTAACATGGAAAGAAGCATTCAAACTCTAAAACTGTCATGAAATATAGGAAATGAAATATGCGATTATTATACTCAATGATGAAAGTTCAAATTCAACAGCTAAACAATGCTTGGAGTACCTGTGCTCTGAAAGTTTTGATAACCGTCTGGCATCCAAACCTGTTATATATTTTTGTGCAGCCTGAACATATTCCGTGCCTGGAGAAGTAGTAAAAATGATAAGAAAAAATAAATATAAAAAGAAGGAAATTCTGTATCTATTTTACAGCAATGCAGGTCACTAAGAAGCAGTTGAAAAATAATTCAGGTATATTCTGCCAAAAGATGAGTACCCTTTGTCAACTGGAAGGTATGCAAAGCACATCTTTCAGCTGCAAGTCTCACAGGAGTGCTTCCATCCTTTAAACATTCAGCAAGAGCAGGGCCAATAATTGAAAGATGGACAGCAATGGCTGAAGGATTTACCTGCAAAACAATTTGCAATATTCTAAGTGTTTAAGATTTTACGTACTTCCTTGATAGAATGAAGAAACAAAAAGGATCTTTATGGATTCCAATGAACATGATTCATACAGTCAGAACAGAAGTTTGAAAGCCCATTTACATACTCTGGAAACTGCTTTTATGGCAGATAATGCCCTTCTCCTGACCTCACTGGAGTCATCATGCAAAGCTGATACCATTGCAGAAAGAATATCCACAACTACAGCTGAGTTAGAAGCACTGCTTTGAACTTGATGAAGAAGAAGCCTCCCAAGGGCCTTGGTTGAAGTTTCACGAAGAGGAAACTATTTGCAAGGAAGGTTAGAAATTGGTAAAATAAAAAACATAGTAGAGCAAAAATTTAGAATTGCAATACCTTATCATCTTTCAAGGTGCCTTTAAGGCACTGTATGATTGATGGTAATTCTGGAGACACTAAAATTTTCGAAGGATTATGCCTGAGCAAGGACGATAATGTGAGAACTGAGCCATGCCTGGAAGCCCAATTTGAAGAACAGGCCATTTCTAGGAGTGCTTGAAGCAGGTCATACAGCTGATCCTCTTCCATGTACTGCAGAACCATTAGAATGGTGGGTGAACAGAAAAAGAAAAATCAACATGGCAGCAAACAAAGCTGACTGTTAAAGAGGTAACTCCAAGGGGAAAACAACAGTGATTAAGCAATTGGAGGCTGTGGCCATTGTGGTAGTATTTAATCAATTGCCTTCCCGACAATAGAAAAGATGCAAACAAACTCTAGCACATCCTTAAAATGAAAATTCAAAAAACCAGAACACTAGAAACTTGAGAAAGGTTGTTAAGATTGTCAACACTGTACCTGCAATATAATACCCAATACACTAGCAGCCAATGTACGAACTTGGTCATCATCATTATGAATTAAATCTTTTAAAAGAGTATAGACGCGAATTCTAACAGCAGCACTGACACTCATCCCTGCATGCTTTACTACACCTTTTAAAGCAGTCAAAATGGCCTCCCTAATCCCAGAATCTGAAGCCTGAATATGGTCAAACATAATTAGTCTATAAATCCAACATGCAGATAAACAAGTGAGGCAAAAAATGACAAGAATCACCTGCAAACTAGATAGAAGGTCAGTGACTAATGGATCAACCCTAGTACTTAGTGCACTCAGCTTTCCCAAGGCAAGAGCAGCACTTGAACGGACAGTCCTGCATTACAATTAATGATTTAGAAAGCAAAACATGAACATGCAGAATGAAGCATGACATAACGTAAAAAACCTTAGTAAGATACTTCTATTGAGAGAAATGTAAACCATGTCTAAAGAACGGAAATGAATTAAGCCATCTTGAGTCAATGGGGCAACAATGTCCACAGTGAAAAAGCAGTTACTCAGTTTTCTTTAGAAAGGATGTGGATGCTACAAATTTCAGACTAACCTCATATTATCTTGTAGGCACTTAATAAATGTTGTTTGTAGCTGAGGAAGAAAAGGTTTGAGCGCCATCCCACCCTTTCTGATTAGTATGCTTAATGTAGACAAAATTGCACTCTTGACCTGCCATGGGAAGCGGTCACCTATGATTCGAATAAGAGGTCTGCAGTAAACAGATGTAAAAAATGTAAGACTCCAGAAAACATGAAATATAGGGAGAAGATGTTCCAGAAACATAGGAAGAATTCCAGAAAGAATGAGATATACTTCTTAAAATGCACTTACTCTTCAAGAAATAAATAACTTACTCACTCTTCAAGAAATAAATAACTTACAAGTATGAAATATTTTTCACTTTCAATAATGTTATACATACCAAGAATCACAAATTGATGATAGATATTTTTCCTCTAAAGAGTATAGAGGGGTTGTGCCATAGTGGCCAAGTATCAGAATTTTAAGAATCCATTATATATATATATATATTTCTAAAGAATAAGCCAAATGAATGAATTTAACTACACAACCTTTCCTCAGACAACAAAACACGATTACATAAATTACATGAATTAGGAATAAGTTCACAATTTGTTTCAATATAATTTCCTATTTCTATTTAGTCATTAAGTTTGGCAAGTTTTTATTAAAATTCTTGAGACCATACATAAGTTTCGATTTTAATATCACATCCTTAGGACCTGAATTCAATTAGGATTACTTAGTAATTCAATAAGTTTTGAATTTATGAAATTATATATAGAATAATTTCTAGAACTGCAGTTCTATTGCACTGTTGATCTTTTCTCCTCCTCTTCAGCCTTCTCTCTTTTGTACTCCTTTCTTGTCAGGTTACTTGCCTGCTGTCATCTTCTGTTCTATCTTATATTCATCTCTAATTCCTGATTCTTCCTAGACAAATTCCTCAAGGTTGTCCTACATCAATAACCTACAACTGCAATTAAACAAGTACATACCCTGTTATAGGAATCACAAACTCCTTCAGTGCCTGTTCGCTGGTCACTTCGATAACCTCTCCAAGACCCAGAGCCGCCTGCTCTCTTAATTCAGCTGATCCACTAATTAGACCCTGTAACAACAACCAAACTTATCAGATATTAATACCTTCTTGATGAATTGCCAATAGAATTTCGAAATCAAAAAGCCAGAGCATCAGATTAAAACATAGTTTCTTTATTGGATGATAAAAATAGTTTCATCGATAAAAATGGCAGTGTGAATAAATATCAAACCAACAGAAAAGAGCATAAACATAAGCAATCCCCAGCAGTGCAGCCCCAAAATGGGAAAGACATAAATCCTGGAACAACAAAAGTGCAATACAAAGTTTGATCCTAATGGGAATAATTCTGTCTTATGACCACAGCTTTTGATGCCTAATTACTTTTTTGCAATCAATCCACAAGCTGAATGTATTGACAACACTACACCACAAGACTTAACAAACATTCAACCTTGCCAATTTGAGCTCATTTGTCCATTGTGTTTGTTTTGGTGTAAAAAGTTAGATTCAATGAAGAGACATCATATTTGAATAAGCAATTAACAAACCATTCACAAAATTTCAAGAAGGCATTAATTAAAAAAGCACATCTTAAAGTACATGCCAGTTGTTATTACGTATCTTTCTTTCATATTGAAATGATTTAATACAGAATGCTTAATTGGTAAGCATAAGCAGAAATACCTGAAGAAAGATTGGAAGCACTGGCTGAAGAGCTTTTGCAAGACAGAATCCAGAAATGAGAACTGGTCCTCCCTGCAAGTGAATTGAAGCAAACAAAGTGAAGTTCACTTTAGTTGCCTTTTCACAAGTATTCGCCTCATCTTATCCACAGATTAAAGGAACAAGTACTTGCCTTCTTTCTTCTACGTTCTTTGTCCCTAGCTGTAGATACTGCATCACGTACTAGCTTTATATATGAAGGAAGTACCTCCTTTGGAACTGAACTGACAACCCTTAATAAAGCTTCCCAAGAAACCTGTATAAACAGAATATAAGATGCTGGGAACATCATGTCTGGCCAACAGCAGAACACTGAATAAGACATACCGCAACAGTGGCTGAATCTGAATCACTAAGTAAAACAATCAAGGTGGATATCATATTTGGAGCTTCATCTAAACACAATTTGCTGTTTTTGAACAAGTATCCTATCAAATATGATGAACTTCTTCTAACAGAAGCCTGAAACCATTGATATCCACAAAAAGACAGTGAGTGAGTGAGCGAGAAAGAGAGACTTGAAAGGAAAACAATGAAATTTCAGACAAAACCTGACTGTCACCAACTCCCCTAAGAAGCTCTGATATTAAAGGTTCAATTCCTTCTTCGTCTACAACCAAAATCACTGTTTCTGCAGCTTCCTTAGCCAAAGTTTGGACCTCCTGTAACATCCACCAATTATGAACATTTCAAAAGTTCAAGCAGACATTAAGAGGCAACTAGCCTGAGGATTTAGATGGGCTAAAAAACAAGCAAGTCTAGGGAAAAGAATTTAGATTGTTATAAGAAGTACTACTACTACATCTATGAAAGACAGAAATGAAATATGCATAGAAATAACATACCAAGTCATCACCACCCATTCCAGAGAGTAAAGCAGGAAGGACAGTTCCAAGATGTAAGTTAAGGCCAGGACCAGCAACCTCTGCTAAAGCTCCAAGAGCATGGGCATTGAAGGCGCTGGATGAAATTCGTGAAAATTAGATGATAAACAGTCACTCAGGAATGTACTTGAAAATTACACTTGCAACATGATAAGAGTACTTACGAAAGGGGGCGCTGCACTAGCTTGGGTAAAATATGAGGCAAGACAGCAGTTGTCCTGACACTATTATTGACAACAGTGACAAGTCAGCATCATAAAGCATATTAAAGCAGGCTGAAAACATATTTCATGCATACAAGTAATGTATCACCTTAAAATCTGTTTGAGACCATCAAGAGCAGTATCTGAAGCCTCATCATCCTCCAGTGTATGCAAAAGTGTTGGAACAATTTCATCAATTGCTTGCATACCAGCACTCTACACCAGGACAATTTAAAGTTCATTCTACTAAAACATACTGTAGAACAAGCCTCAAATAGAAACAGATAGAAAAAATAAAATACAGAAAAGAAACTGCACCTTGTAGAGAGTACTGAATGCCAAGCCTGCTGACTCACGAACCTCAGGGACACTGTTAGCAGAAACAGGAAAACAGATATTATTTTCTTGTACAACTGAAAGGGTACAAACACTAGTGAAACAACACATATAATAAACCTATCACATAGGGCTGTCCGAATGGTAGGTATCAACTCATCCATGAAACTCAACAACTGACTTTTGCCGGCACTTGCCATCACTTCACTCAAACCAATGCACACACCCTGTTAATCAAGTAAATATGAGAATTACCTAAAAGGGGACAAAAATGCAAAGATAAACTCCTAGGCAAAAAAAAACTATAGGCCCTTGCCTAGTTGTCTAGTTGAATAAACTCCAAACTAATGAGAGGTAGAGTAAAGGTAAGTGAAAAAGTACCAAAGAACAATACAAATAAGTTGCGTCTTTTATGTTTTGATTTTAGGATTTTCAAATATAGATAGCCAGAAGAGAAAAAAATTAGGGTAAAAAAGAGTTATATAATGATAGATAGCAATATTGATAATGAATAAGGAAGAACTAGAGGGGAGATGAATATGGGAAGAAAAAATAATTAAAAAATACTAACATATATAGGCAAAGAGGGCGAACATAGGGTAGAAAGATAAAAAGTTGGTTGAATGAGAAGATAAATGATTGGGCCACAAGAAAAATTAATAATGAGAGAAGTGGAGTAAAGGTAAGTGAAAAAATAAAACTAGAAAATAATGTTAAGTAGTAGTGCCATTCATCAAAAACATTTCTAATTTTGAAAATAGGAGAGAGAAAACTTAGGGCAAAAGAAGTATATATAAAGAGAAAGAGAGGGATCCATTTACACACAAGTCTTACACATTACACTTATACAAAATCTTGACAATTCATCTCTCTACTTTCAATGGTTGAAATTTATCATGACTTTTTAGATGAAAAAGATAATTTTTTTTTAATAAATGTGAATAAACCCCAACCATTGAAAGTAGAGAGACGAATGGTTGAGATTTTGTATGAGTGCGGTGTGTAAGACTTGAGTGTAAGTAGATTCATATTCATATATATATATACATAGACTTGATTGTAAGTAGATTCATACTCATATATAATAATAATAATAATAATAATAATAATAGATGGAGATGTAGAAGTAATTAAGAAAGAATAATATTGAAAGCAAGCTTAGGCAGATAAAAATTATAAAAATTTGTATTTGATTTTTAATATTAAATTGATTAAATTTGTACATTTAAATCTTTTTTCATATTTGTGATTCAGACCTTTTTATGAATTAACATATTTAAAATTACTAATTACTAAAAAGAATACTCAAGATATATTTATAGTTAATTATTATTGTAAAAATTTATAATTAGTAAAAATTTAAAAAGAAAGATTATAGACGAACCATGTGAAGCAAAGCTTAAGGTCTAGTATCATAAATAGCTACAGCTATAATATAATGAAGACACAAAAGAGCCAATTCAAAGAGCCTCAGAACTGGTGCAGTTTGAACCTAAACTAGTCTTGAAAAAATTTTATTTTAACTGACCTAATCTAAGTCAAATCTTTCAATTTTTATGAGAATTATTTTCTGATAAAAATTTACCAAATGAAAAAAATGATGACAAATAACACATTGGCGCACATGGCCAATTTAAAGACTCAAAAAGGCATGAAGCATAAGCAGACTAATTGGTAAAACAAAAATATGCGACGTTCTATTATATTTCATAAAAAGAAAATAACATTTTGATAATTCCAAGAGAATTAATCATCAATTAATCTAATTGATGGCAAACTGGCATCATTTTGAGTTATAAGATCTCAACACAATAAGAGAAACTTACTTGTCTTCTACTAGCATCTGTATCCTTTAGCCCCTGGGATAAAATTGGGATGATGAGAGGAAGTACTCTTTCACCAAGCTTCCTGACAAGCTCTCCCAATGATCGGCCAGCAACCTACATTATCAACAGATCATGCGGAGTTATGAGGTACATGTACAATAATAACTCAATAGATGCACAGCAATATTAACACAGACCTGTCTCCTTTCAGATGATGATGATGCCAGAGAAGTAATCAGAGTACTCATCAAGACTGGCATTATTTCTTTGAGAGTCTTAGGCGTATTTGCCACAATAGTTTTCCACACATGTAAAGCAGCCTGAAAAATGAAAAAAATTTGAATTTCATTACTTATCTTGATCATAAATGAGTTTCAGAGAAACTATCTCAACCAAGGAGCCAAAGTTCTAGCATTAATACCTGACGAACTGTTATGCTGACATCTGTTCTAACCATATATAATGCAGCAAGGACTTCATTGCGCTTATCCCTTCCTAGAACCTCAATGATAGCACGCCCATGTGCTTCAGTACTAGCACCTTCATCATCACTGCCACCTTCAAGTAAAGCTTTCCCAGAAGTGCCAGCAACCTGTTAAGAAACAGTCATTTCACATAGCTAAAAGCAAACATTTTGGATGCTGGAAGAACTATGAAAATCACAAGGATTGAGCTACAAAAGAATTCAAATGAAGAATTAAAAGATGATGTATTGACCTTAAACAAGAGATCTCCCAACAGTTCTACAGAGCTTTGTCTGATTCGCCAACTATCACTAAAGATGCCATCTTCTACGGCTGGAAGGAGAAGAGGCAAAGACCTGAAACAATAGGGAAAATGCATTGATGCAGTGGAAGACATTACCCTTAGTCACACACTATTCATTAACTAAGTTGTCTAAGTCAATGAAACTTAAAGATGAATAAGGGAACCCTAGAAATTTTTGAAAATATACAAAAGTACTCACGTGGTTGCATAATGCTCCACTAGGACATGCCCAGCACCAAGAGCTGCATCACGCACAGATTCATTCTCATCTGCAAGCCCTGTAAGAACATAAACACCAAAAAAATTTAAAACATTTGCATCATCTTTAATGAAGCAAGTTCAAAATCATAAAGAGCTACTATTTACCATCTAGAATGGCAGGTAGGACTTGCTGCAAGTAGTTCTGGAACTGAACTCCTAATGACCTTGGTAAATACTGCATGCATATCCACATCAGGAAACAATTAAATAGTGCCATAAGAAACAAACCCTTCAAGTGAAAATCCTAGGAACTCAGATTATACTATTGGATCACCTTGAAAAGCGTCAGATATCCATCACGTACAGATGCTTTTTGATGTGAACAGCTTCGAATAATATCAGGAAGTATTTGCTCAAAGTACTCTGTACCAAGTGCAGCTAAAACCTGAAGAATTGAAAAAGACCTCTCAGGCTCTCAGTGAACATGGTCTTCTCTTTTCTTGTTTTGATTGACAAACAATTATTATAGTGAGATGACAAAACAAGTCAGCTGCACATGCAGTATGCAGTAGACAAACAAAATGGCACCTAAAAGAACCTGCATATAATGCTAAAAACCTAATAAGACAATAGGGCCCCAGAAACTCTCAAAAGTTCATGAAGTCCTCTACAGTCATCTTATCCTGTATAGTCTATCCTTATAATTCCTCTAAAGCCAATAGGAAACTATGCAGTACAATAACACATAAGCATAACTTCAGAACTATGAAAACGTATCAAATGTAGTTTTATGAATGAAACAGTTACAGATTCAGACAGAAGATCATAAAAAAGAGAAGAATTAGATAGACCAGAATGAAATTAATAATAAATTCTAACCTCACTCAACCCTTGAGCAGCTCCAGAGCGCTCAACATTACTACCATCTGATTTTAGTGTCTCAAACAACCATGGAACAAGATCTGGGAAGTTTTCTTCTCCCATTCCTTTTATAAGAGAACCAATGGCCCTAGCTGCAACAGACCGAACTTCTGGAATGGGATCAACAAGAACCTGTATACAGTAACAAAATAAAAGGAGTAAGTGTTTATACAACAGAAATTTCAAACTCTTAAGTAGAAACTAGAAACCTTTTTCACTTCAGGAAGGAGCAATCCAATGTAAGGTATCATATCCTTGGGCTCTGTAACTAAAGAACACATATTTCCAACTATTTGTGCAGCTCTCTTTTTAGTATCGGAGCTCCTCTCTCTTAATCCTCTATGTACTATTGGCACCAATAGTGCAAGGGAAGGAGCATCAATTGAATTAACAAAAGTTGTCTGCAAAACAAGAAGCATTAGACAGAAAAAGGGATTAACAATACACATGAATACTTAGTACTTCAACTTCATAAACCTTACTTGGAGGAGAATATCAAGAGAATATTTAGTATAGTCATTGGGATCCGTAAGACCCATAAGCAGAGTAGGGACAAGTGATGATATCTCTGGATTTTTTATTACACTTCCAACCTGGAAAAGAAAGTATGATAAGCAAAAGAAAAATTATAAGAAGAAACCACAACTATAAAAGGAATAAAAAAGAAGAAAAACTCTAACCTGCTGAAGGGCCATCTGTCCTGCTGACTGGACCTTGGGATGGGTATCTGTTAATACCTGTAGTTAGATTAGAAATGCAAAAATCATTAGAAATGGTATTATTAAAAACACTAAAGCCGTTACAACTTTGGTATTAACGAAAGCAACCTAGCCAATCAGTCAGAACATCAAATAACAAAGTCAAGCAATTAGTCATGTTGACATTCAGACAAACCTCTGTCAGTTTAGGCACAATCTTGGGAAGGCACTGTGAAAGTTGCTGTGGAGCACAGTAAGCCATAGCACCAAGTAGCTGTACACTACTTTGCTTTGTTCTCCAAGCTTTATCTTCAAGACCCTATAATCACCAGAGTATTTTATAAAAAAAGGGAAAAAAAAAAGGACTAATAACAGGCAAGAGCACTGAATGAAAAAAAAAAAAAAGAAAAAAAAAAAGAAAAGATAGAAAAAAGATGAAGAAGAAGAAGAAAGAAAGGTATAAGGTAAGCAACTTGTTTGCAATGCATGCAATGCCTTCTCATGTAAGCACTTTAGCGACTGTTTGGAATCAGTCTTGATTCCTGATTTCATTTTCTCCTTTAATTTCAAAAAAAAAAAATTATGATAGTTAAAGAACACTTATTTGGTTAGGGTTCTTGTTTTCATCTTGCAACAGGATTCTGAAACCGTTTGGAAACTAAAAAATTTCGATCAGTTTTGGTTTTTAGTCAAGGGTTTCAAAGCTTATGGCAGTGACACCAACTGAAACCTTAGAGTGTTCATTTTTAAGTAGAGGATCTGGTAGTAATGACCTATGCTGACAACATAGTTCATGCTGTTAGAAACAATTTAATATCTATCCAAGTCTTTGAATCTACTTAGGAACAAATTTTGGAACACCAACTGAAAATTCAATTTCAGTGTAAGTGAATTTAACCACACATCTGTCTTTATAGACTGCTACAATTAATCCAAAAGCAACTACTCCAGGTGTCCTAGTTTTTGGTTTGTCTTTTTCCTTTTTGGAAGTTTCAAAATATTTGTTGAGGTCAAGACAAAAATTCTAAAACATTATATTAAATAAATTTCAAAAATAAAGTAAAAAATTTTATTCATGTCATTAGCTCACCATTCTACAGAAAAGAAAAGTTTCTTGGTGGCAAGTCAAATGATAAGAGAGAACATTCCAAAATCTACATGGCAACAAGAACTTAGGAAAATACCTATTACTATCTTCAAACATGAAAAGTTCTAAGATTAAGGCTCTGTTTGGGAGTGCTGTACACAACACTACTCTACAGCACTTAATCTAAAAATGTAAATTTATTATAAAGAATTAATTTTCATTAATTTTTTTTATAAATTAACATTTTATATATTTTTGCAATAGAAAAAGACAGAAAAACCAACAGCACTCCCAGACCAAGAGTAAGTCTTTGAAGAACACTTAGCTCATGCTGCTTACAGGATGCTTTGAACAGCACAAAAACATTGGAAGATGACCAAAGGACTGCCTGGGATTGCTATGGAACTATGGAAAAAGTACTGGGAAAGCAATCCCAAAAGTAAATAGGAAAATAAAAAGATTAGAAGATAATGATATAATTAAAAGTAATGGATGTTTTAGGACTTGCATTAATATTTTTAATTTACCATTTAATTAATGGATTTATAACTTACCCAAAACCCAAACCCAAGACTCTAGCTCAAACTCATGCTTACCTCTAGATCCACAACACAAATTGAAGAAGAAAACAGAAGAAATCAAACGAAGATCAAAGAGAGGCAGCACATCTCCAAGCCAGAGTATCAAAAATTATTGTAGTTGAGTATGGCTTTTTGAAATAGTAATCCCTAAAAATTTACCAAACGTGACAAAACCTAAAAGCACCATGGGACTGTGGGAAAAATTATTATGAAAGCACAAGTATGGATGCCACAAGGAAGGAGACTGTTACTGAGACACAGCTAAAAGCATTGTGGGGGCAGTGTGAAAAAGTGTTATGAAAGCAACCCAGACTACCTAAACATGCATGCCACAATGAATGTGAATTTGACACTGGGACAAGAGAAATAAACATTGGAGACTAGAGCTCATATGGTTTGTGACAAAATATATATAATATAATACTTCAATTAAAAAAGCATCCAACAAATATATGCAATAGTCAATAAAGGTGTAACTGAAATCTCACCAGCAGAACATTTCTCAAGTTTCTCTACCTACCAAATACCTATAAACTTTTCTTCCATTATTTAATTGAACTATTACATAGCTTAAATGTGCAGTACTTCCCTTACACCAATGATGTTTTTACCAGCCAGTAAATGCTTCAAAATTCATCTCTTTTAGCATTTGCTTCTTATTTTCTTTAACACTGAACTACATAAAATTCCCTCTCATCAAAAATGCATTTTTTTGAAATAAAACAGCATTTAGACACTGTTTGGCAAAGTGTAATTTATAAATTGCTAATTAGCAAATTTCAAGACTATGTTCCATAAAATTAGTCATTTTTTCCAAAAGCATGTTAAAAAAAAGTGCTGTGCTAAAAAGCTCCAAGAAAGAAAAAATGCAACTTATTAGCAGCTTTTGTTAAACTAGCTAACTAGCACTTTATTTGCTACATAACAAATTGTTATTCGACAAGTTTTATGAAAAATCAAATAGGACAAATAGCAAAAAGAGCTAATAACCAGCTTATAAAAAGAAAGCTTTGCCAAATGAGCTTTCTCCCAATGCAGCCTATGCCATGACCATTATTTAGAAAACAAAATAAACATTTCCAGTATCATAAAAAAATTTATTCATATGTTTTTCAGTAGCATAGCAAATCCATTTCCATGACATACATTACAAATGTAAGCAAACTACATTCCTAACATACTACGAAAGAAGGATCTAAGAAAGAAATTTATCTATAGGATTTCGAAAAAGAACTGTCAATGGACACTTTCTTCAGGGCATGGCACTGATTGACATTGACAGGTAAGAGATGAAGTACCTAAATAACTACAGAGGGAGTGAAAATGTAAAACAGAAAACTTTTCCACTATTATATCTTTGATAATTTGATATAACAAAGGATTGTTTCCACTAAGATCATAAAAAAAGAAAAAGAAAGAAAAAAAAAAGAGAAGAGGATAATAGAAGCATGGATTGAAACCATCAATTGACAACATGATAATCTAAAAAGAAATTAAATTTAAAGAAAAAGGAATTAAAAATTTGCAACCAAACCCAAACAACACCTTTAAAAGAGATGGAAGAACAAGCTTCACTCCCTGTGCACTAAGTTGAGACATCATTGCACGGGCAGCACATTCAGCAGCTTCTCGAACAGCAACAACTTGATCAGAAAAGGAAATCAAGAGCAATGGTAACAATTGAATAACATACCTGCATAAAAATGGCAGGCAAATGAAGAAGACTATTAAACACAAAAACATTAGAAAATAAAATATAAGGAAAAAATGGTCAGAAAGATTGTGTACATACGGTTCAAATAATCTCCCAAGACATTCACAAAGGCACTCAAATGCTAGCAGAGCTCCTTCACGAGATTTAGCAGAATTTCTGTTGAACATAAGAAAATAAAGCACTGGTAAGAGAACTAACTGACTATTTGACGGGTAATCATTTTAGTACTTAGAAAAGTCGCCTTTTCATTTGGTGATGCAAGCAGAGACATTTCCAATAACAAACCAATTATAACACCTTTCAGCTGTATGATGCCCTTTTTCCTTTTTATTTCAAGGATCCAGGAACATAAGTATGCATCATGTGCATATGATTACTTGGTGAACGCACACAATCTTAAAATGATACTTTGTATGCACATCAATCATAGAAATAAAACTTGCGAAACATTGAAAAAACAACAATAGGAACACGTTTTTGTCAAGACAATATGCAAAACCTAAAAAATGCTTATGTTTCCAAATATCACTATTAATCCCCAAAGTAATAAAAGTCCTCAGGCTGGACTGCAAGTCAAAAAGAAAATAAAACCTTAAGTTGTGAAAGGATATCTTAAAGATTCAGCACTAACTAAAACAGACCATACTAGTTAGAATAACTGGCTAATAAGCAAATACAATCTAGCATACAAGCATCCCTGAATGCTATTTAAATAGGATCCATCAACATCAAACATAGTCCCATATATAAATCAGCCTACCCAAACAGCAACAGAAAGCTTGTATTTAAATCCATAAAAGTATTCCTCTCTACCAAAATTCACAAATAACAAATTCATAAATGCAAATATCTGCATGTGAAACTTTGCATGTTATAACCATTGGTGCAAGCATTCAAATATCACTGTAGCATTAGACAAGAGACAGGTCATATTAAATTTCATCTAAGTTCTCAAATTAACAGCAAGCTAAACTTTATTTGAAGTTAATTAATAATAAGTGATAAAGAGAGTAAATGTCAAAACTAGAATGGGCAAAAGTACCTATCTGCAAGTCCTTGTCGTAATGCAGCTGCAATCCCATGCTTCTTCAAGCAAGTAATTCCAAGTCCCTTAACCACTCCAGCAAGTCCAAAAGCTGCACCACGTCTTTCCCCATATTTGTCGCTCTTCATCAGCTGATCCAACAGCCTAGAAACAAGTGTCGCTGCATCCTCCTATGCAAGGAATTATGACATTAACAAGGATGTTCCACTTTTTAAAATCCATCATAAAGGATTCCTTGCTACATACTTGTTTTGATTGCATCAAAGGAGAAAGGCACATTGATACTGCTCTTTGAACAGCTTCTGAAGGAGTATTTAACACTTCCAACAGCTTCTCAATAACAGAATGAACTTTAGGATCATCCTGTTCAAGAGCAAGATTTGGAGTTAAATTAAAAGGTAAAAATGTTCTTAATCAGATAAGCAAAGTACATTCAGAAGACCACACACCTTTTCCAAATGTTTTGCCAGAGCTCCAGTAAAAATAACCACACCTTCACGAACCAAATCATATTTTTCTTCATCTGAAGCCTAAACAAAAAGAAAAATTGCAGATAACAATGAAGAAATAAAGCTATGCCCTAGTCAGAGAGTCACAGAAGAACATAGCATTGGCTATTTAAAACCTGGTAACTGGGTGGCCAGAGCAACAGAAAAGGTACCAAGGAAAAGTAGTTCTTGAATAGAAGAAAGATTAACCTTCTTATTTAAGTAATTCTCAAAAATTGGGAATAACAGGGAAACATTATCTCTTCCATGCTTATCGATTATCATAATACCAGCATTAATCATTCTTCCACGAACATCAAAATTGGGATCAGCCTGCAATATCAATCATTGAAGACTTAAGTAATTTTCCCCTTATAAATAAAATTATCATGATCACAACAAAGAACACAACTCTAGCAGAAAGTCAAGTTTACAAGAGCACACATCAAAGGTACAAATTTTGAAACATTTTCCAAGTACATGACAATGCTTTCATGCTAAGAAGCATTAATGTGAAAAAATGCTAGATTTATGATGCACTGATCTGTAAAGAACTAACTAAAAGATGACAATTCCAGAATTGCAAATTAAACAGGGTCTCCATTCATGGACTAAATATCAGACCAACACAAAAATGTTTATCGTGTTCCACACATCATCACATAAAGAAAAAATTTGTTGGAAAACAATAAAAAGACCACATGCTGTAAATATTTATCTGTTCACTAGTGAATAACAAGCAAGACTCCATAAGTTAAAGGCAGTGACTTTTCATTTATTTGAATGTCCATACTCCATGGAATTATCTATGAAAACATCCTTTTCAGTGCTTCCACGCTTTTGAATTTGTTCATGATATTATCTACCAAAACTTTCTTTTAATACTCAATGTAAATCAGTGTTATCAATAGCGGATAGCGGCAAATAGCAGAAAGGCCAAAATCCACTATGATAGCGTAGCAGGTAGCGTAGCGGCCGCTATAGACAAATAGTGGGTAT